TCCCTACGTGAACGGATAATATATATTATATAATTTTAAAAATATATCTATTATTTATTTTCTTGAATAAATATATTTAAAAATTTTAAAAAAATTACATATAAGTTACACAATTCTGATGTATATTCGTATCTAACACCCAAAATAAGTTTGATATTTACAAATATATAATTTTAGTATATAAATTTATGCATGAAGAGTACTATTTTTCTTTTAAAAAGATAGAGATTATGTTACTTTTTATGTAATATTAAAAATTTGAGTGAAAAAATATCTCAAAATTTTGTCATAAAATTTTATTTCAAAAAAATATCATTTTTATCGATTTATGAATATTTAGAACGATCTTTATCCTCTACCGTCGCGTACTTTGTTCTTTGTTTCTTCTCAAGAGGACAAGCAAAACGTCATCTTTCTCTCTTATTGTTATTATTATTTTTTAATGTTTCCATTATAGATAGGGCTGTCAAAAAAAAGCTTGTTGTATGCGAACAGTTCGTGCTCGGTTCGTCAATGAGTTCTTGTTCGATTCTTTCGATGAGTAAACGAGACGAACGTGAACAAATTTTTTTCGTTCGGTGAGTTAAAGGAACCAAAACACGAACAATGATGTGTTCGTTCGTGCTCGATTCGTTATTATTCGAAATATAAAATAATTTAAAATAATTATATATAAAAAATTTAGGATACTTTAAAAATAATTATTTCTTATTAAATTTATCATATTTTAAATAATTAAATCAATAATAAAAATATATTAATATACTAAATTAGTAATATACTGATATAGATATTATATATTTGTATAATAAAAGTTATATAATTAATATAATATATTATTTATATATATTAATATTAAAGATGTCAAATTGGCTCGTCGTTCGCGAACAACTCGTGTTCGGCTCGTTCGTTAAGAAACGAATAAGAACAGTGACTTCACGAACAATTTCGAACACGAGCTTATGTCAAACAAACTAAATTTTAAAAGAAATAAACACGAACACAAACTTTGTTCGTTCGTGTTCATTTCGTTTACACCCCTAATTATAGACCCAGATTAGTTATACAATTTTTAAAATTTTTAATAGTATTATCAAATTTTCATGTAAAATAATAATAAATTCATACTAAAATTGCTGTCAAATTATAAAAAATTCCCACCATAAATCATATTACTTCTTTATTTCCGAAATATATTAGACCATATTTTATTTCTAAAGCATATAAACGATTAATTAAAATTAATTATGTATTTATCTCAAAGTAAATTACTTTTAATTAAAAATATGTAGTTAACATAATTTAAATTACTTTTAACGTACCTTGCCATTTTTTTAGTTGATTATCATTATGTTGACAAGTTCAAAAAAGTTATGCAAATCATTTTGTTAATTCCTAGGTGCATTTTAAAGTTTATCTTGATGCTAGGCATGAAGTTATGTATTTGCTCATGTTTGACATGATCAAATGTTTTTGAGGATGGCTATGTAATGCACCCCATAATAAGGCGTGAAAATTAAATAATTAATTAATTAATTATATATATATATA